TACCGCGGATGCGGGGGTACAGCGCCTGTCTCCCCCCAGCCCCTCGGAGAGCAAGGGGAGAGGTGTGGAGAAGGAATAGAAGGATAAGCCAAGGCGCAGAGCGTTCCTCTCGCATTTTCTCTTTTGATTCCACCAGTGGCTTAAATTATTCGCCCCCCCCCCCGCCCCTTTGGCTTTAATTAGTCGTTTTCAGTATAATTGTACAGCATCCAGGGGCTCTGTCCTGGGCCCTTGTGCCAGGAGAGGTTAAACAGAAGAAAAGAAAGAAGGTTCTTTTCTACAGTAACTTGTTTCTTTCGGAAAAGCTGCAGATAAATCAGTGCTGCTTTGCACTACAGTCGTTTTCCCGGTTGTTACCTGTGGGGCACGCAGTCTTTCCAACATTTCGAGCCCATTATTATTCCCTTCTCCCCCCTCCCCCCCCGTAAGTGTTCCAACTCTTATACAATGTTGTAATCCAGACGACAAGGGGTTTGCCTCTCTTCTGTGGACTCAGGAGACAAGCAGTGACTTCCAGGGATCAGACACTGGGAACTCCTCATCTAAGGAGGGACATTCCGGTGGGACTTTCATCAGGTTCCCAGAAGGCAGGCCCCCATCAGCAAGGCCCATCTTCAGGGAGCCCCCGGGCATATTTTGCGGATCACTTTCTTAGCCTACAACGACTCTCTTGTATAGAACAATAAAACAAGCCAATTGTCCCCTACCTGACAGAGAAAGTGAAGCTTGAAATGGCACTTCCTTGCTGGTGCCTATGGAAGTCAAAGACTGGAGAAACGAAGATGAAATCCTGCAAATCAAGCAGCTGAACAGGCCCCACTTTGCCACCTGATGCAGTTTGGTCATGGCCCTGAAACTCCAGAAAAAAAAAAAAAAAGTCTCAGCACCTGCAGACATGAGAATATCAGCTTTAATTTTCTGCAAGTTGCTAGGACTTGCAGTTGTTGAGAGGAATTGGAAAACAACTCCTGAGTGCTGAAAAACCTGACAAACAAAGGAAAATAACATGTCTAATACTTTATTTCAGCCTTGTGCTTTTCAAACTTATCTCATTTGTATTCTTCCTTTTTACTGCCTGTGCACATCATGGTTTTGAGCTTGGGTCTGGCAATGCTGAGATTACTCGGGTCTGTGGTGTTAGCAGGGGCCAGGGGCTACTACCTTGGGGCTGTTAAAGACAAGCAGAATGCTGTGGCCTGGGCTTGAGCACTGTGTAATGGTTTTGTCCCCACATCAGTGTGTGCAGAGTCTAGTCTAATCAGTTCACAAGAGCAAAGGTTTCAGTGGCCCATCAAAGCTGTAGACCCCAAACCGTAGTGAAGCCTGTGCGTGTAGAGCCCAGGGTAAATAAAAGTTCCATATCTTCAAGGCTAAATCAGTTGACTCTTCTCGCAGCCGCTTAAACCCAGTTGTGTTGACCCCTGCCGTGTTTAGATATTTAGCCTATCACTGGTACAGCGCCCCAGAAGCAAAATTTGGAGCGGGATGCTCTGCTTACAGAGGACACCTGGCCAGATGGATTGGTGTGGAAAGCCTCCAACTCTCCAAAGATTCAAGTCCTGTATCTGGGCCCCTGGAAAAACCAAAATCTTCAGCACTTGAGAGGACCCACAGTGACCTGCAAGGTATTGAGGGGGCTGCCCTGCCTGGAGGGGGGAGCCTGGCTGTGGAAGGGGCTGGAGATATGGAGGGTAGTGAGGAGGACTCTTGTGTTGCTCTTATCTCCACCATACCTGCTGTGGCTATCTGAGGAAGTTGCTTAGAAAATCCCTGGCTGTGACTTTTGGCTCACCTAATCCTCCAAACACACAAACAGGACAAAACCGAATGCTTTTGTTTTCTTTTCCCTGCTTGCCGACAGCTGAAATCCCTACAGAGGCTTCTTTAGAGCCATTTCTTCACCTCGTCGTTTCTCTGCTGAGAAGGCAGCAAAAGGTGATTCCTCCCAGCCCGGTAGCCAGTATCAGCCCGTGGAGTCAGGGTGCTGTGGAGTCAGGGTGATACTCTCCCCTGTATATCCCGGGAAGAGGAGGGCAGGCTCCCGTTAGCCCCGAGCTTGCCCCCAAGTCCGGATCTCGGAAGGGGGAAGAGAAGGCGGCTGCATCCCAAGAGCTCAACCTGGGATAATCAGAGCGGGTCTCAGGAACGAGCCAAAACGTACCCAGCCGCCACCATTAGACAAGCCTGTCGCGCAAGGCACGGTGTACGGTGCGATTTTCTGGGGGCCACAAGTCCCACCGATCCCGGGTGGGCAGAGGTAAGGAGGCGGTGAGCCGTCTCGCTTCTATCGCTCCTGCTCCCCGTCCCTATCACGGCTAAGCGCAGCCCAGCACAGTCGAGCCTCAGCCCAGCCCACCTTTAGAGCCAGCAGCGGCGGCGAGGTAGGGCCGGGCTGACGGGGCGGTGCCCTCCGCTGTAACCAATGGCTCGGCCAGGCTGTTTAAATAGACTCGTCCTGTCAATCATTTTCTTCTTCGTCAGCCTCCCTTCAATCGCCATA